GCGCGACTTGCGGGATGTTGTCGAGCACCGTCATGAGAATCACGATCGGAAAGGTAAAGAAGAGCGAGAGGTACAGCCGGCGCTTCCACGCCGCGACCTCGACGAGCCGGTTCTCGGCCGACGCAGCTGTCGTCGACCCCGGTCGCGACCGACGCTTCGTACCCAATGGCCTCGACAACTTCAACGAGCGACCGGATGCCGACCTTGTCCTTGGCAAACTTGACGTACGCGCTCTCGGTGGCAAAGTTGACGACCGCCGAGAGGACGCCGTCCGTGCTGCGGAGCGCGGTCTCGACCGAGTTGGCGCACGAGTTGCACGTCATGCCGACAACCGTCAGCGTCACGTCGCCCGTCTCGACGGCCGGATGGACGACGACCGTGACGGCCGGCGGCGCCGCAGCAGTCTCGTGGACAGCCGGCGCAGTCGCTGATGGGTCGTGCACGGACGCCTTGAACTTTTTGCCCTTGATGCTCTCGATCGCCACAATGAGGTCGGTCTCGGTGATGCGACTGCCCGGTGCAATCGTGATGGTCGCGACCCGGTGCTCAAAGTCAACGGTGGCCGCTTGCACGCCGTTGGCCTCGCTGAGCGCGGCTTGCACCTTGGCCGCGCAGTTCATTTGGCAGCTCATGCCCTCGACGCCAAGTTGGACGATGCGCACCGAGCGGTCGTCGCCGGCCATGTACGCGTCAAAGCTCTTGGTCGCACCCGCGTCGAGGCTGCGCACGGCGTGGATGAGCTCGACCGCCGAGACAGATGCGTCGCATTGCACGGTCGCCGCCTTGTCCTTGAAGCTCACGCTGGCCGAGGCGACGCCGGGCACGGCCTCAAGGGCCGACTGGATGCGCGTCGCGCAGTTCTTCTGGCAGCGCATGCCCTTGACGACCAAACGCATCTCGTGCATCATCCTGCTGCGGAGCGGAAATATCGAAATGGCCGCGATCTGCCAGCACCCAGTTGCCACCCGGCAAAGTGCGGATGAAAGCACCTGCCATTTGTGACAGATCGCACTTCCGCGAACGCATACAAATCAAAGGTAAGATTTCCGTACAAGTGCGATTGCCGGCTAAGTCACGTGTTTGTACACCTGTGGTCGGCATCCAACAGCAACCAAGATCGAGCGCCGCTAAGTTCGCGCAGCTGCGTCTCGCCGTTGCGTCCTCTGCGGCTCATTTACACTCGGCTAGGTACGAACCCGCCGTAAGTGCTACGTTTGAGCTCCACGTGGATCGCGCGAATTGGGCGCGTGCATCTTTGTTCGCGAGCGTTCGCGGTTCAAAGGGTCGTGCACAGCCCAGGCAGCTGGCGTTGTTTTTACAGCCGCACACAGGAGCGTCTCTTCTTGCATGCGATTTCAATTGGTTCAAGCACGAGCCTGCGATGGTGGATCCCGCGGGCTCGACATCACAAGTAGACTTTTGCTACAGGAGGTGGTCGAGAGCGGAATGGCAACGCCTTGTTTCATAAGTGCAGTCGTGAAGCGTATCCACGCGCTACACCGGCTGCGGGGTTGGCCACGGCGGACCCTTGAGCTTGACCACGCGCTCTATCCGACGCGTCTCGCTTGCCAAAATGATCTTCGGGCCTTCCTGTGGTTGAATCGATGCACTCGTAGGACCGAGGAGCATTGTGCTCTTGCCCTCGGGGCCCACTTGGCCTCGGGATGCATAGCGTCGCGTCGGCGGCGTGTACCACTTGAGCAGCAGCGACGACGTGACGACCGAGACGGACGAGAACGCCATGGCCGCGCCCGCAAACATGGGCGGGATCGAGACGTTCCAGTGGTACAGAACACCCGCCGACAAGGGCAGCAACACCAAGTTGTACCCCATCGCCCACACAAAGTTGAGCTGGATGCGCCGGTAGATGGTCCGCGAGAGGTCCAGCGCCGTCACGACGTCGTGCAGTTTGGACTTCATGAGCACCATCTGCGCTGTCTCGATCGCAATGTCGGTGCCAGCGCCGATCGCGACTCCGAGGTCGGCTTGCGCCAGCGCGGGCGCGTCGTTGATACCGTCGCCCACCATGGCCACGATGCGACCTTGGGCCTGGAGCTCTTGGACTTTGGCCGTTTTGTTGGCCGGGAGCACCTCGGCCATGACGTGCTGGCTCGGAAGACCGATCTGCGCTGCGACCCAGTG